CGCCTACGGATCGATAGTGTCGATAATAATGTCATTTACGAATTATGAATTGACTCGGTCGTTACTTGATGGAAATCCATTGCAGATGAACTTCACAAAATTCTCAAACACACGACATGTTTCGCTAACAAAGTAGCTTCGTCAGGTGATATACTGTACCAGTAAATACGCTAGATGTTCATTCTTTGAATATAATAGGGATTCCCTGTCATGCGCTCCAAGAGAGAAAAAGAATAAAAATAAAAGAATGTTGCTCATATCCTAATCTGAACAATTTTTCTTCAATATATCTTCCATCTTCGGTTGGAGTTCATCTTTATCAGCATGGGAGCTCAGTAAATCAACTCTTTCAATTCGAATAGTCCAATTAATTCCAAAGAGAATATTATTTTTTTCTACCTCTGATGCTGTCTGGCATCCTAGGCTAGGCCCTAGGTAGTTGCAGTTATTTCTCCAGAAACTTTATTTCATGTATAATACAGATGAATGACTTGGTGTTCTTTCCCTAGCTTGAGAGATTAGTGAATAAGATTTATGTTTTTCGGTAAGATAACACGCGATATGTGACGTAATCGAGGCTCGAATCACGCATGCGCTATTTGTACTGAAATGCCAAAAATTCCTCGCAATTTCACACAATACCTAACAGCTCCTCATTATTCCTTGTAATGCCTCTCAATGCCTCGCAATTCCTCTCATTTCATTGGCAATTCCTCGTAATTCGAGATGAGTGTAAACCAAAATTCCTCAGCGAAATGCCCCTTGATCACAATGAAACTTTGTGATTTTGTTAAAAGTAACATGATGAAATGATAATTCCAGTGGCGTCGCAGTGGGGTTCACCTTATTTATATTTATGGTGGTTTATGCTGGTTTGTCTGAGTTAAAAATTTTAATTGGATTGAACAGTTGAAAATATAACTTCCTTGTACCCTGTTTTACTTCTGTATCTCACTTAGTTTTCGAGAACCATTAAAAAATCGATTTGACCTCTTCAAAGACACCCATTAAGATTATTCAATAACTTCAATAAGTACTATTCTTTTACACACATTAACAAAGTTTTCTTACACATGTATTATTTCCCACTTAATGGAAGCCAGCTTCATCGAATCCTCATTTTCCGTAAGTGTTTAGTAATCGATAATAACGATTGAATTTTTATAGAAATTTTAATGTTTTATAGAGTTCCTGATGAAGAGCCAATAAGGACTCGAAAGCTTGAACAGAAACAAGAATACACTTTGTTTTTCTTTGACTGCATACCCAAAGGAATTTCACAATGTCATCGATATACTTATAGCTAGTTCCTTATTGTATGTAAAACTGTACTCGAGTGATGAAGTTTGAAACATGAAGGTTGTTTTGATTTTCCAACTTTTGCTGCATTTACTCTTTACTGATGAATTTTGAATTTGATCGGTATTGACAACGTCATTCAATGATTTTGCAATTTACTTGATTTCCTAAGTTTCGTTCTCAAATTTTCAATTTCATTACGTAGTTTCGTTTTGCATTTCGTGTGATGAAAATATTGGATATTTTTTTCTATAGTCTGTTTTGTAAATCAAAGGAACAACGGATCTTATAAATCTTCGGTTTGAAAATGGGCATAAAATGTAGTTTCATTCCAATCTGCTGTTTAAGAAGTGACTTTCTATGTATGTACTTACCTCACAAATTTTGCTTGCCTTCAAATTAATTTTCCATCCAGGCCGTTTCATACATTCCCTTCATAAGGAAATGGTTATTGATATTTCCTTCGGAAAATCAAAGAAATGAGATCGCCATTCTCTTCAGAATTCTCGCAATTCATTACACAGCAGGACATATTCATTCATGCTTTTTTCTCAATAGTTTATGGAATTATATTTCAATTCTGACTACTTCTGACGTTCATAAAATTCATTGTCAAATTCAAACAATTTTGAATGAAAAAGCGCGGAACGAATGATGCTGTTGTCACAATGCAAGGTGTGTAACTTAATAAATCTAAGCATTCAAAAACAGTAACAGTTGTCATTTCGACCGTCATCTGATAACGAAATGTTATATGTCCCAAAGGCATGTAAAAACATTTTATTTCATCGAACGGCACCTGTGCCAATAACTATTCTGAGCAGAATGATTGAAAAATGGCACTTTCCTGTGCGGTAATTTGCACTTAATTTCGCGATTTGATAACGAGATGAGGATTATGCCATCCGATACCAATTGAATAGTAGATCTAGACAGTGCCGGATTTTTACTCACGCCGGGGGCTAACTGTTACGATGCCGCCGCGCCGCCGCCAAATAATAAATTTAGATTGTCAGTTTCAAAATTCAAAGTACCTACTCGTTCACTGCTTTTATTTCACAGCACATGATAAAAACATGAAATCATCAGGTATAACGAATCAAATTATATTCACTTCACACCTCAAACCTAACAACAAATAATAAATAATATAGTTTTTTTCAGATGAATACTAAAATACTTTTTTTCTGCAACCGACACAAAAGTCATCTATTATAATACCAAAATTAGCTCTTGAATTGACGTTTCTAATACTGACACAAACATAGGTATGTTGCTGGGCAACACATTCAGTTCCTAGGAGCTAAAGTTCAACTTTAGCTCCTAGGAACTGAAAGGGACGTACTAGAGGTCATCAAGAATAAACAACATTGTTTCGGTTGGTTCTATGGGTTGGGACGCATACCTGATTTGTTTCCGATTTCGGCAGATTTGGCATTTCATACCCATGCTGGAGATATAAATACACCATATTATAGTTGAGTATATTTGTTTTGATCAGGAAAGCCTTCAAGATTCACATACTTGCTTGATCTGTATTTCATTCGTTGTTCTCGGGATGAATAACTTGTTTTTGAATCATCACGGCCAGCAATAGTTTTTTGTCTCAAACAACGATATTGTTTACCTTCATTCGATTATCGAGCCAAACACAGTGGACTATGGAGAAAAATGAATAATTGCTATAATTTTTGTTGATATGTTCACTAACCTAACATTTTCCACGTCTTTTTCCTATACCTGACACTGGCGCGGTTTTTGCTATCAGAGCACCTGGTCCATTCACAAATATGTCACTCTGTGGTTATATTTATAATGAAACTACAATTCGAACATCCTTGAAAATTGAATAAACCTGATCTGTTAATGTAGGTAGAATATGACACGGCATTGTGGTTACTTCACATATTTATTCGAGTTAATTCTTTCGATTGCAGAAAAAATACCATGTTTCATTCGGATAAAAAGTTACTTTGTTGGACTCGCAAATTTTGCTTTCGCACGGCTTGCCTTTTCCCTTTTTCTCTACCGCCTCGTGAAATTTACCGCCGGGGGCTGATAGTCCCATAGCCCCGACCCCTAAATCCGGCACTGGATCTAGATATCAAAAACCTACCTTGCCACCCCTCAATCTTAGCCAAATCCAGGGCACAGCGATGTATTTGCTGCCGTTATTCCGGTGATACTTCCGACATGTGATAACGAATGGAAACAAAAGGCAAATGAAAGGGGATGATTGCCTCTTTGCGAATATCCAAACGTGCTGCGATTCAAACTGCTCTATGTCAGCGGCAGAGCGTCAATATTTTCAAGAATATTTCGCTCCCCTCTAAAGATAATATCCGATGGACCAGTGTAAAACTCATGTGGTGCTTGCACTATAAGCGTTCAAATCCACATCATGTTGAGTTTTACACTGGTCCATCGGATATTATCTTTCGAGAGGAGCGAAATATTCTCGGGAATAATGACGCTCTGTCACTAATTTAGCTCAGTTTAAATCGCGGCACGTTTGGATATTCGCAAAGGGGATATTATTGCTTTTTGTTATTTTTGTTTCAACTCGTTTTCACATGACGGAAGAATGTCCGGAATAACGGCAGCAAATCATTCGTTATCAGATGATGGTCAATATTTGCAGCCGTTTCTTGGACTATCAGCAAAATATGGCCGATTTGTCTATATTCTCGGAATCTGCTCTATCTGCAAGTTATTGAACTATGTATGAATGGTGTAGGAAAAATTCCTTTTTTTCTGTTTATTTCCTCAATTTCCTATTCATTTCCCGAAAATTTCTCACATTTCCCCGAAATTCCTCCAATTCCTCGCATATTTTTATTGGCACTGACGCATCTTGCAAGTACATAAGTATTATAAGTAATAAATAAGTGATTATTAGGAACCAGGTCGAACTATTGTCTTTTGTGAATGTGAATTCTGTTGTTATTGGTTATATTGAATCTCATAAGGTAATTACTAGTTACAAATCTGGCAGCATCGAAATATGTGGTGCAACTTTTTATGCGAAAGCCAGAATTCAGATAACGATGACTTTCGGTTCGTTTAATGACGTCATCGAAGCTAGCGTTTTTCGAAGGTGCCGAATTTCATTATTGAAAAAAATATATTTGCAATGATTTCAAATAACGAATGATTGCATCAAATACTCCATTTATACACGGAATGATCAATATGAAATAGGTTTGTGGCGTAAATTCGAATTATAAACGTCTCTTATCTCTTATGGTACTTGTTGGTACTCCCATCAACGTGTATTTTGAAACAGTCGATTTTTTTTCGAAATTACAAAAAGGGGGCCTGTGGGGTTAATTCTTGCCCGACAAAATATTGTGAGATATACACATTATGAAGTACCATCAGAGGAACACATTCATAGAAAAAAAAACTCCCATCCGTAAAAAGGGGGGCCTGTGGGGTTAATTCTTGCCTGACAAAATATTGTAAGATATACAGATTATCATAGACCCTCAGAGGAATACATTGATGGAAAATTGTTTCATCCATGGACATATTTTGAAGGTTTTAGTAATTTCATGGCCAGCCATGAATATAAATTAATAATGAACGATCATTGGTGGTATGGCGCGCGCCTTAAATATTAGGCGAAGTCATGGCTGGAACTCGTGGCTGGTTTCACACTGATGTGAAATGTAATGTTTGCCATGTTTGTCGTCCATCAGGTGTACCAGCAGCAGCTGACGGAGACGCGCACGCGCCGCCAGGTGGAGATCAGCGAGATCGACGGGCGGCTGGCCGAGAAGTACGAGGCTAAGCTGCAGGAGGCGCTGCAGGACTTGCGCGACCAGTACGAGGCGCAGATGGCCAACAACCGGCAGGAGATCGAGCTGCTCTACGAGCAGAAGATCAAGAATCTGCAGGCGGCCAACGACAGGTAGAATAGTGATAGTGCTTTATTAGTCCATTGTCGATCTGATTGGAAACCTAGTAGGCGAGTTATAATAACTGTTCACTGACCCGAAATATGTCTGCCTGTCAATGGCGCTGGTTTACTGGAAAACGTTAATAGTGTATCATTTTTGTTTCAACTGTATGGGTTGCGTGCATGAACTGTCAGATGACCGACCCTGGAGTTGAAACATTAAAACACAACCTCACTTTTCTTATTTGTTCACAGTTATTTTGGCATACTAATCGTGTTTTTCGGCTATTCATTAATTCGCACTGTTGTAAAATGCACAAAAAATGCAGTGAAAAGTAAGTGCCTACTATAGTTCATTATGAAATTTGGTAATTTCTCTGAATTCTCATCGGAATTCCTTCTGCAATAGGAGGTAATAGAAATACTTGTAAAATATCTTGGATTCATGCAATCAAACAGAAAGACTGGTCTGACATGATTGTGTGTGCTGTAGACATTTTCAATCTATTAGCAGTATTATAGCTTTTATTGCAGAAGTGGCAGAAGGAATTTTGATAAAGAAATGACAAAATTTCGTAATGAAAACTATGTGAGATTACTAATTATTTGAAAAATCATATTCCTTCATCTCTTGCTGCATTTTTTGTGTATTGTACAACAGCACAATGAGAAGGCATGCTTGAATTAATGAATGGCACAAAAAACACTATTTGTATGCCAAAGTATTGTGAAACACTATTAAAATCCTTTGATTCCTCTGTAAACATATAAAAAAGCGAGGTTGTGTTTCAATGATTTACAGAAAAGTGAGGTTGTGTTTCAATATTTTACCTCCAGGGTCGTTCATCGTGCACGCGACCTATTTTTGTACATATGGAGAATTTTAGGTTAAAGTTTTCATCTTCTATTTTGTTGAAAATGTTCAAGGGAGGTCTGAAATTGTTCTTCTAGTATAATTCAGGACCAAAAGAAAAAATACGCCGCAGGTGCTTTTTTTTATCAAAGTCATCCCTTAATTTGAAAGTTATTATTATTATTGTGTGTAGAAAGTAAGAAAGTTCCAATTTGAAATTTCTTTCTTTTTATCCAGCCCTGCTTTCTAGAACACAAATTTTGAACATAATTTCAGCTATGAAAAATCAACTTTGCGTTGAAACCAAATTTCAAAATTCAGACTACGGAAACAGATTTTGATTTCTAGCAACTTTTCTAATTAACATTTTAACGTATTTGTTTTATATCTGTCGTCCACAAAAATCTATCATGAAAACAAATACTGCACACATGAAAACGTTGGAAATTACTTATACTTATAATTTTTTCAATACATCAGCCAGGAGAGGGCCATGGCCACCCTTGCCCTGCAGTGGAGACGCCCATGACAGATGAATTTTTTCTAAATAAATACAGAAAGCTCAGTCATTTCCACACAATGTTCGAGAAATAAACAATAATGGTAGATTTCGGGAGAATAACAACTACTTTCCTGGCCAATGCCATGCAGAACATTGAATTACATCCTCCCAAAATCTATGCATCGACTCGTTTAAACGAATACTGATACAAGTGCTTCTTTCCTGAATGCCTATTGATTTCGATTTAGCCAGGACGCTACACAATCACAGACCGGTTTCGAGCTCTTTGACTCTCATCAGTGCAGTGTAGTCTCCAGCCAGCAGTCCTAAGACCGCCGACTCAGCGAAGCCTAGCCAAACAAAAATCAAGTCGGCATTATATTCCCCCCCGAGGCGTCTTTCATCGACAATATGAAAGTAACGCCATCTGATTAGAACAGAGGAAAGAATCACTCCAAAACTGAAATGTTTTTCTCCCGAAATCTACCATTGTTGTTCACTTTATGAACATTGTGTGAAAATGACTGAGCTTTTTGTATTTATTTAACATTTCATTCCACTTTGAGCATTGTGGCAATTTCGTAGTTGATGTGTACTTGAAATAGGACGCAAATTACGGCCTATACTACTATCTCTCTTATTTAGGGATATTATCGATTCATAGACTTCAACATCTATGTGGTTAAAAAAATACCATACCAGTCTTGGTGATGATAATATAACGCTGGTCGCTTACTTAGTTCGCCTTGTGGTAATGACGTAGACGCCAAGAACGGTGACTTGAACTATAGCTAATTTACGGATATCAAAGACAAACATTCAATCAAATATTTTCGATAGACATCAGTCATCTGCTGTGGGTGCGTTGGACGAGTTGCGCCAGATCAGAACCAGAATTGACACGCTGACGACGAGAATCGGAGAACTGGAGCATCAGAATGCAGGATTGGCTGCTCGTGCCAGGGACTTGGAGAAACTGTTGGAGGTAGGCAATAATTTTATTTCTCATTGTTTTTCTGTCATGTCCCCTAATCTTATATCTATTAATGCAACTGTTTTTCCCACCCCATATTTCTAATGTGTGTGTTTTGTTTTTCAAGAATGAGCGCATGAGACATGCTGAGGACCTTGCTCTCCTCGAAAGAGAACTTCAGCGACTCAGAGACGAGATGGGGACTCAGCTGCAAGAATATCAAGACCTCATGGACATCAAAATCTCATTGGACTTGGAAATCGCAGCTTATCGCAAACTCCTCGAGTCCGAAGAAGCGAGGTTGAATATCACCCCACACGGTAAGATTTTATTTTATCTTGTTGGTAAATAATTATGGTGATTATCGAAAACAGAACGATTTTACATTTGATTTGACCATGAATTTCATGGCAAAGTAAGTTGAAGTAGTAGATGCTTGTATGCCGGAAATTTTATTTTGTTACTGTTTCAGTTCCATTAACTTGAAAGACATTTTTTTGCCACTGTATACAAAAAAGATGAAGTTTAGAGGACATAGTTCAAAAGATAATAACATCCTATTGAAGTTTGTCTTCTATTACCTGGTACAACGTGATTGACATCAATTCACAGAAATTTATTTAGGTTTTCGTCACCAAATTTCAGGTATTTCAGCCCAAATCGCGATACGTTTGGATAGTTGCAAAGGGGCCATTGTGCTCTTTTCATTGCATTTTGTTTCAACTCATTTAGACGTGGTGGAAGTATCTGATACATAAACTATTAAATTGAAATCCGATGAAATAATCCTTGTAATAAATCTGAATAGATTTTATAATAAATGTATTTTATTTTATCTTATGACAATATTGAATGACATAAATTATCAATAACAATCCCTAACTACCACATTCAATTATTCATTATATACAGCTTGGTCCAATATTCCTACAATACCCCCTTCTTCAAAGCATACATCACTCCTGTGATGGAATTGACGTATATTAGATATATGAGCACTGTCTTCTCTATCTTCATTAAGATAATTCACATAAGCAAGTACGCCATTGATATATTTCACTCTGCAAACTTGAAATGGACCTTTCGTGACATACTCTTTTCCGACCTTTTGATTTCTGGTCAAAATCCAATCACCCACTTTTAAATTAGGCGGCTTTCTTTTCTTATGCCTATTTGCTTGCTCTTGAATTCTGATTTTATATATCTTCTGTTCTTCATCAGTCTTTGGGGTCTCCATAATGTTGATATCAATGTCCAGATCTTTATCGGCTTGCAAAATTTTCGATTTTCCATATAACTTGAAATGGGGAGAACACCCTAAATATTCGTTGTGCGATGAATTATGATGTTGAACAGCGCACTCCAAAGATTTCTTCCAACCACCTGGGAAATGTTCATAATATTTCATGAATGTTTTCAGTTCTCTTACTGTCCGTTCAGCAATACCATTTCCTGCTGGATGATATGGACTTGTCTGTATTAAATTTATTCCATTTGTTTCCGCCCATTCTGACATTATTCTTGAAGTGAAAGCAAGGCCACAATCACTAACGATATTTTTTATTTGTTTCACAAATGGGAGTCCTTGTAAATAATTTCGAACTGCCACTGATGATTCCTTCAAAGATTTAGCATACACATGTCTAGTAGCTTCATCAACCAAAATTATGAAAGATTTAGTGGACTGATTTGTATCTGACTTTTTACTGATTTCTGCAAAATCTATGTGAACGGTCTCAAATGGTAATTTTGAACACGAAGTTAAGTGGATGAAATCTGGTTTGGGTAGATATTTAAATTTAACGTGCTGACAAACTATACAAGTTTTTACATATTCTTTGATATCCTTGTTCATCGTCTTCCAGTAAAATCGATTTTTGATTTTGTAATAGCATTTATAATATCCATCATGACCACCAGAATATGGATCATCATGGTATAGGGTTAAGATTTCTGTCACCATATCTCTGTTCTTCACTAAATACCTACCATCAGCCATTTTTTCTAAATTCTGAATATTCAAATTACACCAAAAGCTCTCAGGGGTGTCTTCAGGTATGTTAATGCACAGCCTAGATATTGCATCTGCATCTTGTATTTCTTTACCTCTTTTATGATTAATCTGCATATCGAAAGATCTGAGAAATATCTGCCACCTTGCAAGTCGATCCCTTAAATTGCCAGTAGATAGTAACTGTGTAAGGGCTCTATGGTCAGTGTGTACTATAAACTTCCTTCCATCAAGGTAAGTACGAAAATGTTTTACTGCTTTCACAACTGCGAGGCACTCTTTTTCCGTGACTGAATAATTTTGTTCACTCCTAGAAAATGTATATGAATAATAGCTAATTACTCTCAGTTGCCTGCTCTTTTCTTCACTGGGGTTCCGTTGGTATAATATTGCCCCACACCCATAATAAGAAGAATCAGCAGATAGCTCATAATTTAGTCTAGGATCAGGAATTTTCAGGATTGGTTCAGAAGTTATTATATTTATCAATTTATTGAAAGCCTCATCACATTTATTTGTCCAAATGAATTTTGAGTCCTTTCTCTTTAGTTCGTCAAGTGGCTTCACAATAATACCATAATTTTTTATAAATGATCTGAAATGATTAGTTAATCCTGTAAAACATTGCAGAGCCTTCAAGTCATTCGGTTTTTTCATATTTTTTACTTTTTCTATAATTTCCTCTCTCATCACCTTGATATCGCCATCTATGTTTCTTCCAAGAAATGTTACACTGGGAACGCAAAATTTACATTTTCCAACATTTATCTTCAGATTATTCTCATTCAACCTCCTTAGTATTTTCAAAGTCAGTTCTTCACATTCGGAATACGTATAGCCGCCACACATGATATCGTCTATATAAACGGTTACTTTGGCATTCAATAAGTCACTCAAAACTGTTTGCATAATCCTCTGAAATTTAGCACTTGAGTTCTTCCAGCCGAATGGTAATCTGGTGAATTCAAAATGTCCATCACTTGTTACAAAGGCAGTGAAATGTTGAGTTTTTTCTGTGATACTGATGTTCCAAAATCCGTCTTTTAAGTCAATTTTAGTAAAATATTTACAACCACCAAATTTCTCAATTATATCATTAATCATAGGAAAAGGGAATGGGTCCAATTCTGTTTCTTCGTTAACTTTTCTATAATCAATACATAACCGGTATGTCCCGTCGGGTTTGGATTTCAACACACAGGGAGAAGCATATTTTGACGACGAGTTTCTTATTATTCCTTTTTCCAGCATATCTCTAATTTTATTTTTAGTCCATTCTTGTTTGCTAGGTGAAAATCTATAAGGCTTCATTCTAACAATTTTGGCATCTTCTTTCAAATCAAATTCCACCTCAAATTGGGACGGACTCGTATCAGAATATTTGATCACATTGGGAAATTTCTCTTGAAGATAATTTTCATCGAATATAATTTTTATTTGTTCATTAAGTGGAGTAAATGTCTGTAATGTTTTTAATGTTCTTCGTCCAATAATTAGATCGAAGCTTAAATTTGAAACGATTACTGGTCTTATTTTTAAAGACTTTCCATTTAATTTCAATTCAACTTCAGTTTCGTGTTTACATTTTGTTATTCCAGCTAAACTTTTTATGAATTTAACGTTTTCAAACTTAGGACAAGCATGATTTCTTGTAAATTTTTCATTAATAATGTCCAAGTCTGATCCAGTATCGAGAAGTGCTTTGATTTTTATTTCGTTTATAGTGACATCTCTGATATTTTCGTTTTCACGTTCTTTTCCTGAATGAACAGTAAAGCTGTGATAAATTTCTTCATCATTTATTTCTTCTTCATTAGTTATTCCATTACAATAATTGCTTACAACATGATTATTAGAAAACCTTCTTTCTTCTTGATTCTGTAGTGATGTCTTCTCATTGTTCTTACTATGCATAGTCAACTGCTGTCTAGGTTTATTGATGCTTCTCATCTCATAACGGGTATTATCTTCCTCGCTTCGAACTTTAATGTATTTAAAATTCTGAATGAGTTCTGTTTTATTAGATGGTGTCTTGCTCCGAATCTGGTTCTGAATATAGAATGGTAATCCCAATATGATGAGTGCTACTAACGTTTTTTCTGTTAATTTACTGTCCGCACAGTAGAGCAATCGTTGTTTTTCATAAAAGTATTCTATGAGCGATCCATTCTTGAATTTGAAATTCATTGCTCTCTCCCATTTGATAATGTTGTCCTCATCAAAAGTTTGTATAAGTGATTCTTTCCAATTCTCCCAGTTGAAATCATGTGAAGGGCCCTTCATTCTGTCTTCATACCATCTCAATGCTATATTTTCCAAAAAGAATCTTAGGTTGAAAATCTTATCACCATCTTCTTTCCATCCATTCGAAAGGGCCATACATTGAAATGATTCCACCCATGTATTGGGATCTTCATTCATACCGTTGAATGATGTGATTCTGTTATTATTCTTATTGAATGTAGCCAAATTCAACCACTTACACATCATTTCATTCAATTCGTCCTTATTGATCTTTATTGAATCATCTGGATTGTGGATTCTGTGATTCGTAGTAGATGAATGTTGGTGAATATTTTCTGCTTCCTGTATTTGAACAGATTCTTCTGAATCGCCTTGGTAGTTGATTCTCACGAAAGTTCGGTCCGACTGCGCCATTTGTAATAAATCTGAATAGATTTTATAATAAATGTATTTTATTTTATCTTATGACAATATTGAATGACATAAATTATCAATAACAATCCCTAACTACCACATTCAATTATTCATTATATACAGCTTGGTCCAATATTCCTACAATCCTCATCTTATCAGTTCGCGAAATTTCGTGTAAATTACAAAAAACAATGTTTTCACATGTCTTTGGCACATAATATATCATTTTGTTATCAATTGACGGTCGAATTGTGCAGCCGGCTCTTGGGCTATTGGAATCAGTATGTTTGAATAGCAAGTCAACATTTTGATCGTCATACAGTTGTAAATATTTTGTGTAAATGTGAAGCATCAAATTAAAATTTATCAAATTCTCTATCTCTATCAGAACTAATGGGATATTAAAAGGAGGGACAATGAATGTAATTAATAGGATTGAGAAATGTAATGTAATGTTGTCAGTAGAGCTCTTTCAATTTTTGAATCAACAGTACTCAACACTTTGGGACACGCTATTTGTGTTGATTTAGTTTGTTGGGCGTTGGGAGTTAGCGGTGATTCAGAGTTTGTTCCTACTTCATGTAGGAAGTCGCTCTGATTTTGAGTTTGTTTTGCTATTAGGCAGGGGGTGGTGCACGAATTTAGAGTTTGTTTTGCCGTCAGGCAGGAGATAGTGCTGATTTAGTGTATCTTTTGACGTCGGGCAGGAGTTGTCGCTGATTTGAAGCTGGTTTTGCTGAAGAAAGGTAGGAGGTGGTGCGAATTTAGAGTATGTTTTGCCGTCAGGCAGGAGAGAGCGCTGATTCAAAGTTTGTTTTGCAGGCAGGCTGGAGGTTGGTGCTAATATATAGTTCGTACTGCCGACAGATAGTTCGTCAAGCAGGAGGTGACGCTGATTTAAAGTTTGTTTTGTCGTCATATAGGAGGTGGTTTCGATTTAGAGTTTGTTTTGTCGTCAGGAAGGAGATAGTTCTGAATAAGAGTTTGTTTCGCCATCAAGCAGGAGATGGCTCCTAAAGTCGGAAGTGATGAGTTTGTTTTGCCGACGGGCAGTTTGTCAGGCTATCCAACAAGGGCAGACAAATGACGGCGCTGGTTTAGTGGTTGTTTTTACACCAGATAACATGGAAAAAATCCTCTTTCAGGCTCGGAAAAGGACCTGTCGCAGGCGCAGCACAACACGCGCGCCTCCTCGCAACGTCGCACTCCCGTCCGGCTGGGGGCCAAGCGCAAGCGCACTCTCTTGGAGGAGAGCCAAGAATCGAGCGTGTCCGACTACAGCGTGAACAGCTCGTCGAAGGGCGACGTCGAGGTGTCCGAGGTGGACGCCGAAGGGCAGTTCGTCCGGCTGCAAAACAAGGGCGGTCAGGAGGTGGCGCTAGGCGGGTGGCAGGTGGTCAGGAAGGCGGGCGATGCCGAGACGATGTACAAGTTTCATCGGTGAGTGGAGACTATGGTTTTTTAACACGCTTATATTAGCTTGATATGTATGTTTGTATATTTGTATGTTTGTATGTTGTATGTGTAAACGAGGTGGTCTCTGATAAGCAATTAACCTTTTTCTGATCACTAATTTATTAACCTGTCTTGAAACCACCGTATTTAATATAATTCTAATTTCCAAGAAAAAGTATTTCCTGCCGAGCGAGAAAGGTCGGCAAGTAGATTCTTGAATAAATCATATTGAAATGCCACATAATCATTCGCAATATACCATAATCAACTTACCTTTTATATCTGAAGTCCCAGCTACCAGCTTGTGACACATCCACGTGTATATGCATCGCACTAGTATAATATCTGAGCTTGAATACTCTTAAATCAAAGTCTATTACTCTACTTTGAGACACTCTTTAGTTATTATTTGAAACAATGAATTTCTTTAACTTTACTCTCAATCTCAAATAAACTTGGAAAAGAGATAGGAAGAGGGGTCCATTAATCAAACTATCAGGTTGCCTAACTGAATTAACTATGTTTATTATCAGAGGGATAAAAAATGAGTGAAGGTGAATGAAAATAGGATCTGGACCTAACTAAATGACATAAAACTGTCTTGTTACTCGCGGCAACCAAAGAATAGTTGAGAAATAGTGATAATTGAATATTTATCGTAAAGAACCATGATAATTCAGTTATCAACTCCAGTAGTTGATAACATGATAACTCTCAAACTCATAATGAAAATGTAGATTTCAAATATATAACAGATTACTTTACCAGCGTTCCGCATATCACAAAATTGTGACACACATTACTTTTGTATAGCTAGTGTATCATGTGACATGAGGGAAGCGAAAACTCAGCGCCAAATTGTATCTGACCAATCATGTGATGGTATTCCATCATTAGGGTGATATTCAGAAATCTGTCAACTATTGAATGCATCCATCAAACGGTAACCATAAATAACATTCAACATATGGTTCAAACAAACAAGTTTCGCTCGACAATTTATTATTCTTAGAAGAAAATATATGTAGTATATTATGGTTGCCTTTGCATGGGCAAAAAGGCAATAAACTCATCTCAGACCCTTTACAGTATGTGTTTGAAGAAAGAGAACTATTTGGACCTCGTTCAGATGGACCGAGCTAGCCTTGTCCGTTTTACAATCCAAAAATGATATTGGGTTGTTGGAAAAAGGCATAGTAAAAAAAACCAACAACTATATCTCGATACCATGTTCTTATTCATCTTATACTAATATGACAATAGTTACTTAAATCTATAAGTATTCTGGTCGCAACATATCATAACTAAATCTATTAAATTTCTTTTGCGGTTATAATGGTCAACTGAAGACTATTAGAGACCCGTGCTTTATACCTACTCGTTACAAGAGGGTTGTAAACTATTATTTCGGTTCTACTCTCGATTTCAATGAACTGTGAAATATACTGGGCGGTGTAATTTTAACCAGCTTAGGATTGATTCGATATTCTAATGAATGATAAAAACCTATTTAGAGTAGCTTATAGTTATGGTAACATATGGTTGTATGTAACGCGGAATCTACGAACGTTATTTTGATCCACTTCAATACGTCGACTTGAATTGAAACTTCCGATACTCACCAAGGAACGATTATAATAGCATAATCTCTGGTATGAGTCCATGTTTGCTCAAAGTGGAGTGGAATTTTTCATAGGGAAGAAGGTAAGCTCAAAGCCATCTCCACACTTTTTTAATGATGTGCTTATTCTGTAGCGTTTCAGAATTCCATCCGGTATACAACCTGTAAAGACGGGTGCGCAACCTGTGAGCGGGGTTCTAGAAACGTGTAATACAGTCGCCTAGATATAATTCTTGGTTCCTAGTAGCGCGATCAACTGGTTCTGTAATTTGCAAATTGTATGGGCACTAGTTTCCGCGGTTGCGTCTTTTCGCTAATAGATAGCGTTTAGTGTGAATCTGCATTAATTAGCAGGAATTCTTAAATAAAACAACGTTTACAGATTACCATTTTATTATTGCCTATACGTCAATTGTAACGAATGCTATTTCCATTATTCTTGCATAGAGGGATGAAACCTGAAAAGAAAATCATTGAGAGAAAAGCTTGAAAATCAGTTGTTTCATGTTGGATTGGGGATGATTTTCACTTACCTGTTGTTTCACTTCATTACGTCTGGGATGGTCGAGCTAGGCAGTAGGCAGCCTTCAAGTGTTTTTCCATCTTCGTGGCAGGAAATCTTGGTTCCTAGAGGGCGCTGCATCGCGCGTTGTAGTTTCCTTTCCTGTTTCCTGCATTACCTACGAAGGGGCCTCGAGGGGTCAAGGGGGTTTTGGAGCGAGGAGATCGAAGGGGAATGGCGTGGGTCGTTGATCGTCGCTATTTTTGAGGCCGGTTTGTTCCTCAAAATTTTCCATGGCCGTTTGAGCTGGTGTCACCAGGATAAGTGGTATGTGCCTGGATAGCTGTTTGTAAAGAAGCCATGTCCGCCGTTGAGTTCAATTGAGTGGTTATTAACCTGACGCTGATGGAAAGCCGCGCGAGAGGTTGCGATGTACGCCGCCTTTTCGACATTTTGGATGGAGCTCATTCCTTTCTGGAACGAGACGTAAGTTGAATTGAATTCATTTCTTGCAAGAACCAAGAGTTTGTTCGTCTTCTAGGTATCTTTGTGTTCTTTTCTGACCCACATGAGGGGCCGTCTAATCACTGCTCAAGTGATGAGACATGTTGGCGAGAGCCATTTTGTATAGATGATACAACCCTCCAGGGTGAGGTAAGTTTTCATGTCACGTTTTGTATTCCAAGGGGAATGAATAATCTTTATTTTTAGGGTTGTAAGTTACCATATAACTTATGTTTTAAGTTAGGCCTGAGTCAGGCTTACAATTTTTGGTTCTGCAGCATTTGTAGCTGTAAATTTGGTTGATGCCCATTGGGAGATACCCACTTATTTTTTTTTACTCCAACTTGCCTGGAGAACCTGGATACCTCTGGTTTCCTGCATCCATCTGCAGTGCTTGCAGATTATCAGTGGCTGTCCACACTGTCAGGATGAATTCCTCATCCTGAGCTCAGAAGCGACCCTCTGGACCTTGGACAGTTTGGAATCTCAGATAAGCTATCAGTTGAATCTTTGAAATGTTTTGAGAATGTCAAATCTTCATATTAGCAATAATCTCATCAATTTAAGTCCAAATTTCACATTTTCACATTATCACAATTTTTCTTCACCTTTTCAATAAGTTCATATTTTAACCCTGCGCAACACACAGTATACTGGGTGAGGCCAAGGCCTTTTTTTTTTTCACAATACTTACCCAATATGTATTCTTATCTCTTTGATTGATGAAGATTGGTGATAATCCAGATTTTATATGTGTATCTGGTAATTTCTCTTCCATATTTATCATACTTGTACACAGGATAGATATGTCTCATGCAATATTTGAATGATGGCTCAATTGAAGATACCTATAGCTCATGGAGCGATATTATAAGCTGTTCAAATCGGTTTGCTTCTGAATAGTTATAATTAAATCCTAAAAACAAAACCCATTGACTTGTATTTCTCAACTCCTACTCCTGATGGACTATTGTTCTATGTAAAAATTATTAACACTTATCATGCATTCATGTTGAATTTTTTCCAACCAGTCTATGAGTTTCTTTTTCTTGACTTTTCAATGAAACTTTCCTTCATAGTATAAAACTAAAGTCAAGTGGTGCCCAAAAATTTCGATAGAAAATGACAGATTCAAAATTACAACACAGTCCTTACCCATGACCTAGCTCTCCAAGACTATAAAAGCTGTCGGAGCAGTAACCCTTCATACAAGGTAAGTAAAAAGGTTACAAGTGGCGCAGCCAACGTGTGGAGCCCGAATTGTGATGTATTTTTTGAATTTGTTATTTTTGAAAATAGTCCAGGAGGGTGACTGAGAAATACATACAGGGTGATTATAAAAACCTGACATGAAAATTTTCTGAAGTCCAATCGTTAGGAAATTGATTCAACCTTCAATGGGTATTCTTTGAGAAATAATAGTATGGTGAAATTTTGCATTTTTTGGAAATTTGAAAATTTTTCTTGAATTTATTTTTCTGCTGGATTCTGAAGGACAATACGGTAAGTGTTACTGAACTGGTGCCATCTTTGGGTATTTTTGCAACTGATTTTCGACCTTGGAACTCTCTGACCATTTACTTAGTAAGGAAGTAATTTTTTTAAAATGGAGGAAGCATTCAAGCCGATTCATTTACTTTTTGAAGAACTGAACTATGAACTTGCCATTAGGGGTATTAAAACTAACAAGCCTCAAGATGAAAGGAGAAAAATTCTTGCACGTTTGTTAGATAAAGAGAGGAACAATCCTGGATCAACCATCAATATGGCTTTGTATGATTTCAATTATGATAATGAAAAAGTAGCTATTGAGGGAACTTTGAGTTCAATTAAAGATGCCATGGTAGATTTTGAGGGTACTACAGCAGACTCTTTATACAAACGGTTAAAATCTCGGATATTTCATATTTCAGGTCGTGTACAAAGGATGCCAATTCCTGTAGGGAGAGAAGCTGAAGCTTCACCTTTTAAAAATGAATCACTAGCGACTTGCGTATTACTAGATGCAGACTTGCATGAAAAAGTGCAAACTGCTGATGCCTCAGAACCAAATGTTTCAAATTTGTTTAATAATTATGGCCAACCAATCATAAACGTACCGGCACCTGTTGTAACTTATAGTACGAGACATTTACCAATTTCTGATTGGGGAATCAAATTTGGTGGTGATCCGAGAGAACTTTATTCCTTCCTAGACCGTGTAACTGAATATGCTCAAGCCAGAGGTCTGGATCAGTCTGAGTTATTTAAGTCTGCTGCAGAACTGTTTACTGGGGATGTTTTTGTATGGTTTTTACAAGCTAAAACACACTTGAGTGATTGGGACTCATTAGTAGCACAGTTGAAATCTGATTTCTT